ATAGTCTCAACGAGCATTTCATTTAGCCTAGCTTTAAAAAACATGCAGAGGAATGAGATTGCTCAGTTTCAATTCTTGCTGAAGATTGTTCCAAGCAAGTAGAACTGTGCACATAAAAGCTGTCTTACCTAAGACAGTCCTTGCTCTTGGCACATCTAACAATAGTACATCATGCGATCTCAGACAATAGCTGCTTGCAACTCTCTGTGTTATCAGAGAGCAGATATAATACGGGAGTTTACCCAACAAAGCTTTATAAATAAACGTGTACCAATGACTGAGCCTCCGTACAGTAAGTGATGGCAAACCTGCCTTGGCATACAGGGGCACAGTGATGAGTAAGTGCTTTACAATTTGTGACAAATCTCAGTGCGCTGTGATAGGCGGCATCTAACTTGTTCAGGTAATAGGCAGGTGCATTCATATAGATCAGATCACCATAGTCCAGCACAGGTAAAAAGGTCACAGTGACTAGCCTTTTCCTGGCCTCAAGCGAGAAACAGGACTTGTTTCTGAAAAAGAAACCTAGTCTAACCCTCAGCTTTTTAAGCAGGTTATTGACATGAAGTTTAAAAGTAAGACAATCATCAAGCCAGATACCAAGGTATTTGTAACAGGTAACCAATTCAAGTACTTGTCCTTGCATAGTAAGAATATCTAAAACAGGCTCTGGTGTCTTTTTAGCTAGAATGGGAACAGGAGACCACATTTTACGGCGGCAGTGGCTCAGAGTGTAGGGACTTGGCCTTTGAACTGAATGATTTCCGGTTCACGTCTCGATCATACAAGGTACCAGGCTGGTACATGGTGAGGCACGGAACTCCCAACTGCTCTGGGCGCAGGCACACTGGCTGCCCCTCACTCTCCCTCTCCTGTCCTGCATGTGGTTCTGTGTGCTCATGTATGTCAACCAGTGTGTTTAATGTGAGTGATAAAAGTAATTTCCCCTTCTGGGATTAATAAGGTATATCTTCGTCTTTATTAAAGTTGTAATGTGTGTTTCTCTTTGTCAGGTCTTGGTATTTAGGTTGCAAAGTTTTGGAATACAACATATTCAAAGGACAACTCAGAGTACAAATGGTAGTAAGCATCTCTTTAATCAGTAGAATTAATCATGAAAACATGTTCTCCTTGTAAAAGGTCTGTGTCCCCAAATTTTGAGAACCGTGATGTAAACAATGTAATTCCTGGAATGGTGATTTATTCAGGGTCTCAACAGCCTTTTGCCTGGTAATATTACGAGATAGATGTATCATATCTGGAATTTCTTTATGCATGGAACTGAATTTTCCCTCTGGGATTAATACAAATTCATTTTAATATTAATCCTAATCTTTGAAAGTATATTTTTACAAAATAGGATCACTGACCTACTGTGCTGCATGCAGGTGAAGCGGGAGGTGGGAGACGTCAGCATTCTGGTGAACAATGCTGGGATTGTGACGGGGAAGAAGTTCATGGATGCTCCTGATTCCCTGATTGAGAAGACGATGGAGGTCAACACCATGGCTCACTTCTGGGTCAGTCAGACACAACATACCCACACAGTTTACCTCTGGGTCCAAATGATTTCTTACAGAGACTTAACCTGATTGATGATGAAGAGACAGATCAGTCAATATTGTAGAGATATATTATTATTTTTTTTTTTAATCATTTAGCATTTATTTCTAATAATGTTCTAAATGTAGGCAGGGCAAGGAACTCCTACACAATTTACTATACAATTACATTTGATTGAATAATCAATACATTTCAGAAAGATTTTTCCACTCATTTCTTCCACGACTACATATCACATAACTGAAATTCTAGAGTTAGGTCATGTGACTTCAATTTGCACATTTCCTCTCTTTATGAAGACCCAAAGATCCAGTTAAAAGTTCAACGTTGAAGCATTGAATTTAATTTTGATTCATCAAAAATACTCCTGTATTTAAGTGATGTACTGTGAAAGTCAATTGTCCTCTGAGCTCTACAATCAAATCCGTGTTCAGGTCTCTATATTAAATATCATGCTTAATTTGTGTCTCTCTCTGCTCAGACCTACAAGGCCTTCCTTCCCGCCATGATTGCCAACAATCACGGCCATCTTGTCAGCATTGCTAGTTCTGCTGGACTCATATCCTGCAATGGATTGGCAGGTATGGATGTTTCTGATTTCCCCACTGTTACATTTAAATGATCCATCCTTAACATTTCCAGTTCCAATCTTTCTTTGTCTAGTTGGCGGGGTGTTTTGGCTCGACCCTTTTCAACTCATACGTTCTCATTTTGCAACTCAAAGTTTTACTAGAAACATTTTCTGACAAAATGTGATGGCTTAAAAGTTCACCCGATTCTTATTTGATCAGTGCTGATCAAATACGAATCAAGTGAACTTTTCAGTGCTGAAACATTCTCACAGCAGTGACATTGCTTCAGGGAGTGTGAGAATAGTTTTTATCTAGAACTAGATAAATACTTGGGACTGGGTGAGAAAGCTTCAGATGTGTTCAGGCAGGAGCTGTGTCACTTTTATTGTTGCAGCGAATGTCTTAGTCAATTCTAAATGCTTTTAACAAGCACAGTTGTAGTTTCGATTACTCTGTAGTTTGTTTATCATCTATTATCTTTTTATTATAGTTGTAGTACTAGCCACCATGAACTTTGTCTTAGTCCAAAGATAGATAAGTGATTGTCCCAACTCCAGGGCTGTGTTGGAAGTAATAAAATAATCATAAATGACAAAACAGTAATTAAGTTCCATTCAGGTTAATTAATCTGCTCATAGTCCAAAAAGGTAATTCACAGTGTGTCATGAAGTCAATGTGAACATATAACAACATGAATATTGTTCTGGGCCCTAGCAGTGCTTAAGTCTTTTTTTAAATGCATTTTCTTTAAGGCAGAATTACATTTATAGAAGAAACGACAACACCAAATAGTGTGCAACAACTCTTTTATGAAATAACTGAGTGCATACTTTTATTGCATGGACCGGGTCAAATTCTGGCCCTTATATTTTTTCATCATGTGGCCAGGTGTCACACATTACACCTTTTTTATTTTTAAATGTGAAGGTGTCACATTTTCATTTAATACCGATAATCTGTGATATTTTGTATAATTTCAACATCAGGGAGTGTATATCTAAATGCTCAGAACAGACCCCGAATGTTAGTGGTGTTTAAACACATTTGATTATCAGATTAATTTCAGTGCAGCAGCAGCTGTATGGCCATTTTAAGGCTGAACTAATCACAAATCACAGAAGAACATTGGAAACCAATTGTTGTTCGCAATTTTTATAATTTTTTTACTTGAAATGTTGATTTTACAATAGCATCTGCAAACCTAGCAATTTTAGTAAATGTGGAAATGGAGACATGTAACTACATATTTTTGTTTTGTTTTCAGTACAGATCAGTCCTAGTCTTGTTTCCTCTTTTTTTCTTTGATGATATGGGTTTTGGTTGAACTTTGTTTGAGAAGCACTGGCTGGCATCTGCTGACTTCATTCGTCGACCAGATAAGAATTCCTTTAATAATACTTCTCTAAGATAATCACTCGTTGCCCTCTCACCCATATTCAGCAGAAAGATTAGAGTGCCTTATCAATATTGACTCTGCCTGGGTTATATAATTCAAAAGATGTAGCCATGGCACAAGATAATAACTGGTGTAACAAACAACATATCACATGACTGCTTTGAATGTGCATGATTCAGTGTGCTCACTTCCTACTTCCTCTGAATGAAACCGGAGACGCAGAAGATGTGGTGTGAAGATACCATGCACTGATTTTCAGATACATTGTATTCTAAATGTTGAACAGCCTTAGGCCTGAAATCAACCATTTGTCCATCTCCTCTACAATCTGACTGCTATCAGCTCAGTAAAACATGACTTGTGGATATTCTGCATATTCGAACATTTGCGACACAATTCTGCCTGTGTGAAAACGAGGACCTTTAAGCCACCGCTTTGAAATGGGAGCAACACAAAGGAG